ACTGTAGTGTGTGCTTTACAGTTGACGGGTTATCCACTAAAGGATTCAATTTCAGCCTCGCAAGATTCCTCATTCTAAAAACTGGTAGTTTGGGAATAGAGGAGAATAAAGGATATAAATCAGCTGTTCCAGGATAATAGTTTATCTTTTAAAAACAAAATAATAAAACCAAGCTTAACATTTTACCTTTTTAAAACTTTGCAAAATTAAGTACATTCAAATGAGGAAAGTTCTATCCCAACACAACTGCAGAAGTAACCTGTTTGCTAGCACAAAACTGGCCAATATAATGAAGTGACACTTCACTAGTCATTTTAATGCATTTGATTAATGTGATCATGCAGATAGGTCACAGTAAATTCTAAGTTCAGAGATTCTAAAGTAAAAAAAATTGCTGCTGACCTGAAATCACAGAAGTACTCCACAATAGATTTGCAACATATAAACAGAATTTGTACCATGGAGGATGTTGACTGCAGCATTTCATGTTAAAATAGAAGGAATTTAATATTTAATCTGTATGCATTTTTCCCAGAAGAAGCATTTTCTCCTTCTAGGTGCGTGTATATGTAAGGGAGACACAGGCTGGTAGAATGAAAATGGACAACTGGGCAGAAGGGGATATCCTTACTTCCAGGTTGTGAAATAAAATGGTGATGGTTTTTCAGAAAGTTTTCAAGCCATCACTAATAGAATTTGGATCCCCTGAAGAAAACCTTCCCTTCTTCATTCTTCTGCCCTTTCCAGCACATCCCAGTAGTTATCTGTGTGTTGCAGATGTTTTCAGGTATGTCTAGCTTTGCTCTCTCTTACTAAAAAGAATGATACAGTTGCACAGCAAGAGAAAGATGGCATGTCTTACGAGAACCAAATTCTGACATGAATAATACCAAGTTTAGTGCTTGTTATGGTACATTGTAATAAAGTTTTAATTTACTGTTATTTCTACTAAGATCATTTTCAATATAGAACATACTTTGTTAGTTGAACTGATGATCCATGAAAGCGAAAGAAATAAACCTGTGTTTGAAGGTGAGATAAAAAAAAGTCATTGTTAATTTCACGGAGCATCTGCTAGTCAATCAAAATATTTAACTGAGAGAAGGCATACTTTCCATGGTAAGCTTGTGAAAATTTTTTACAGTTCTTTATTCCCTGAATTTGTAGAGTGAAATAATGTCTCAGATGCATCAGGTTTGGTTTGAAAGATAGTTTTACAGGTAATTTGAATGAATATCTTTTTGAAGACCTTCCACTTTATAATGTGGCTGATGAGTATTTGTGACTGAATTTAATGTTTTACTGATGTATTTTGCTGTTTTAAATTAAATAGTCAGACTTTTATGATCTTTCTGGAAACTCAGAAAACTTCATCTTAAGCAGAGTCCTGACTGCTCTGTAGCCTCAAATCACAGCGCTCAGCTCCTTGGGAATGCCATTCACTGCTGTGTGGTTTGTGAGACCAGTGACAACTTCTGCTGGGTCAATCTGGGTGTAGTGTAAAGATAATACTATATCAAACTATGATGATTCAGGGGCTTTGAGACTGCTGTGTCAATGAACAGCAACTAGGAAATAATAAAGAAAGTAAATCTGAATGAGTTTTTTCACAGTTGTATATACAGAATCACACAGAATCACAGAATATTAGGGTTTGGAAAGGAACTCCAAAGATCATCAAGTCCAACCCCCCTGTCACAACAGGACCAAAAGAAATACCAAACAACTAGGCAGATTGCTCAGAAAGGCATCCAGACAGGTCTTGAAAGTCTCCAGAGAAGGAGACTCTACAACGTCTCTGGGGAGCCTGTTCCAGTGCTCTGTAACCCTCACAGTAAAAAAGTCCTTCCTCATATTAAGGTGGAACTTATAAATGGAATAAGTTGCCCCTCATCCTATCACAGGGCGAAGGCAGCTTGTCCCTGCCTTCTTGATGCCCAGCTCTCATGTATTTATAGACATTAATTAGGTCCCCCCTCAGTCTTCTCCTCTCTAGACTGAAAGGCCCCAGGTCTCTTAGCCTTTCCTTGTCAGGAGGGTGTTCCAGTCCCTAAATCATCCTTGTAGCCCTCCGTTGGACTCTCTCAAGTAGATCCATGTCTCTCTTGAACTGGGGAGCCCAGAACTGGACACAGGACTCCAAGTGAGGTCTCCCTAGGGCCGAGTAGAGGGAGAAGAGAACGTCTCTTGATCTGCTGGAGACACTGCTCTTAATGCACCCCAAGACACCACTGGCCTTGCTCTTATTGAATCTCATTAGGTTCCTCTTTGCCGAGCTTCCCAGCCTGTCCAAATCTTGCTGAATGGCTGCACAGCCTTCAGGTGAATCAGCCAGTCCTCCCAGATTTGTGTCATCAGCAGACTTGCTGAGAAGACACTGTCCCATCATCAAGGTCATAGATAAAAATGTTGAACAGGACTGGACCCAGCACTGATCCCTGAGGGACTCCACTAGTTACAGGTCTCCAGCTGGACTCTGCACCATTGACCACCACTCTTTAGGCTTTCTTGTGTAGCCAGTTCTTAATCCATCTCACTATCCATTCTTTTATCCCACGTATTGTGAGCTTGCTCACAAGGATGTTATTGGAGACTATGTCAAAAGCCTTGCTAAGGTCAAGGTAGACTACATCCACTGGTCTCCTTGCATCCATCTGTTCAGTCGCAACACCATACAAGGCTATCAGATTAGTCAAGCATGATTTCCCCTAGGTAAATCCATGCTGACGACTCCTGATAGCCTTCTTCTCTTCTATGTCCTTAGAGATGACCTCCAAAATGAGCCGCTTCATCATTTTTCCAGGGATAGAGATGAGGCTGACTGGTCTGTAATTTCATGGGTTTTCCTTCTTGCCCTTTTTGAAGACTGGAGTGACACTGGCCTTCCTCCAGTCCTCAGGCACCTCTCCTGTTTGCAGTGATCTTTTGAAAATGATGGAGAGTGGTAGGGCGGTAACATCAGCCAGCTCTCTCAACACTCTTGGGTGCATCTCATCAGTGCCCATGGACTTGTGCACGTTCCATTTACATATCTGACCTCTGACCCACTCTTCATTGACTAGTGGAGAGTCTTCCCTCCTTCAGGCTTCCTCTCTTACATCCAGGGTCTGAAGCTCATAATGGCTGGTCTTAGTAAAGACTGAAACAAAGGCATTCAGCAACTCTGCCTTCTCTGCATCCTCTTTTACCAGGGCTCCCACCTCATTCAGCAGTGGGCCCACATTGTCCCTATTCTTCCTTCTACTTCTGATATGTTTGAAGAAGCTCTGTTTGTTCTCCTTTACTTCCTTTACCACTTTAAGTTCTAAGAGGGCTTTGGCCTTTTTGTTGCTTTCCTGCATACCCTAACAACATCCCTGTAGTTCTCCCAAGTGACAAGTCCCTTCTTCCATGAATTGTACATTTCTTTCTTCCATGAGACTTTCTTCAGAAGATCCTTGCTTATCCATGCAGGTCGTTTATCACCTCTCTCTGCAAATTAACTGACTTAGAGCTGAAATTTCCTTCTTTAAGACTCAGTTTTTTCTGGGTTGGATATATAGAGTGGAAAATAAAATGTTTGTTAGAATTCATAGTGCCTAGTATTATTAAACTTGGTATAAACATTGACTAATTAATATTAAGTAGTTCTTTATTACTTCTTGGGTTGGCACTAATTTTAAACAGACTGTTTATCCTATCCAGTATAGCCTGTTGCAATAAATAAATGACCAAAGCTTCAGCATCATGTCCCAGAGCTGTAAATAATGCTGTGTTATTACTGTAAGTTTTGAAAGTATAGTAGATAAATTATGAGTTAAAAGATTACTGAAAGAGGGCTATGAATCCCACTAGTTTAATTTTAGAATACCAAATTATTAATTATTATTTTTATATCTGTATAAATTAATTCTTTAAAATTTAGAAAATATACGCCTTAAAGCTTTATTTATTTTTATTTTTAATGCTTGAATTACTTTTTTCACTGAGAGATATTAAACCTCTGGGTCATTTAGAAGCATTTTAAAAGTTTCAGTTGCAGGACAATCCTAATCTCTGTACCTGGATCTCATTATCCTTTTTTTTTTTTACCTCCTTGAAAATTTTGTGACATAAGTTACCTCTTCCTTTTTTTTTTGTCAACATTTTGTGATACCTTCTGTAGATCTGGAACTCTCAGATTCTAAGTCTTAAATTTATAACCATCCTCACTGGTGGAGGTGAGTAGCAAAAATAAATAAATAAAGCTAAAAATAGTTTGAAAGGGCTACCTCTGTGTCTCAATAGCAACTCCTTGCACTGTGTTGTGAAGCTTTTCAGTCCTCTCTTTGTTACATGAATAGTAGGATGTTCTGAACCAAAAGGCAAGGAACGCATTGTATTACTTCCTCTGCACAGGTCACAGAAGGGCAACACAGGGAGTTGCATCCAGTTTTTCTCACCTGAAAGATAAATATCATATAACATGGCCAACAGAGTGGCATTTGGAAACATTTTCCTGAAAGAAAATCTCTTGTTTCATTCCAAAATAAAAAATAAATAATAATCTAATAAGAGCTGTTTTCTTACTAACTCATTGGTTTATACTATATTGTGGGCTGAAAGAAAAATACAAAACTGGTACAATCTCCTAGTCCTTAGCATTCACTCTGATTTTATTACTGAAACCCATCACTACCACTTTTGCTGACAACATGAGGAACTCCAGTGTGTTTTGCATAATCACAGTACATAACAATCCTTTAAACTATGGGTTACTGTGGGATAAAAACACCTGGTTCTGTGTTATATTTTATGTTGGCTGCATGGCTGCTTGCATGACTTTGGTTAGCCTTCCTTGCCTAACTGCTCCCTGTGCCGGTCAAAAGTACAGGTCAACCTGAAATCAAGCAATACTTTGCTTAGGAGTGAGCCACAGATACAAGTATGCTTCTTGTGACTATTTCTAGTTTTTTCCACTGTTTTCCATATTCTTTGGCAAATTCTGTGAAAAAAAGTGTTTTGGGTAATTGTACCTGTAGATCATAGTAGCAGTGATGCATGAATTTAGTGATTTCATTGGTATGGTAGTTCTAGATTACTGGAAAGGAATCTAGCACAGCAAGAAGCCTATTACATTAATTTAAAAAATAAGAGAACTTGGGATGTTGCTCTCAGATATGGTATAGATACAGTGAATAGCATCAAATGCCAAGTTAAAATACATATAGCCTGGATAAAACTGAGAATTTTTAGCACTTATTATTCACATTTATTGTGAGATCAAATGTGTAAGACATGAATCACATTGTGGTACTCTTGAGCAGCAGTTAAAGGTACTTTGCCAGTTCTGCTCTAAAATGATAGCCAACTCTAATCTCTGTAGGTTCATCTTGGAATAAACAAAGTTAACATGGCAATTCTTACACCAGTCTTGATCCAATGCTACTCTTCCCTTAGTGTGCTTTGCAGCTACAGTTAATTATTTATGTTCCTGGCTAAGGCATTTGTAAACTCAGAAGTATTTTCACAGATAAACATGAAACAAAGGTAATTTATAAAAATTAATAATTTGGTGAATAGAAGAAGCAATCTCTTAAATCTAAGGTAATCCATATGCTCTGTTCAAGGCCAGTTAAACTTTTATTATTGTTGGTAGCCTTTACCAAGATGAGGGTGTTTGTTGCATACCAGAAAGTTGGTGGTAGTATGATAGAAATGGCTTGGAATTCAGTGCTGGAGTGATGTGCTGGTGGCATGTCTATCACACATCCATTACTGGGGGCTCTACTGCAATGGAAGGTCAGAGCAGGAACTTACTTGTGGAGCCAATGATGCTTCTAGAAAGTCTAATGACTCTATGGGGAATGTTGCTGTCTGGTTTCTGTGCCTCTCCAAATCTAGTTAAACAGATACTGTTTGCAAGCAGAACAAGATTTTATGCTTTGAGTTCAGGCTTTCTCAAGTTCACTTTCAATTCTTTTATTGAAAAATAACTTTCTTTGACAATTTAAGATGTAGAATTTATCATAATTTTCTTAAAATCTTCTAAGAGTGTGCTACCATCCCCTGGAAGTTGTCCATCAAGATAGATGTATATTCTAGGTAACAACTGCATTCATATACCATTTCTGTAATAAAGTTATGTATCTGGCTCTCTGCCTTCTGTGTCAAGCAGCATTCTAAAAGTGTTAAAGGGGAGTCTTTTGGTACTTATGGAGCAAAATGGTGAAATGCAGTACTATGCACTTTATACTACACACATTGTAGCTATTGTCCAGACTTCTTAGATAGTTCTGAGAGAAGGTAGACTTTAAGGCTGCAAAAATGCATGAAAGTTCAATTCAGGTTGTAAAAGTGGATAAGGTTTTGATGTTATCTAATTTTTGTTTCTATTTTTGCTTTTTTTTCTCTTCCTGTAATTTTATTCCAGCAGTGTAATGGTATGAGCACATTTATTTACATTTAATATGTTATCTGTTAGATATTCGGGTTTCCATTTTGATAGAAGCCATAAAAAAGTATTGTATTGCTAAAGCACTTCTGGTTGGCACCAACATCAGTTTTAGTTATATAAATCCACTAACAGGTTTTAAGAGGAGTCTGGATAAGTCTGCTGAAAGATACACAGACACCTATCAGATATGCCATAGATTGATGAACCATAGTTCTGTCTTTATCTTAGATGCGTATTCTTGAGAAGAAAGGCACATAATAAAATGTATTAGTTACTTTATGTTCTCTACTGATTGTGAACATATTGAATGAATTAAAATACTGGGAGTTTTCTTGGTATTGATGACGTATTTAAGCATCTCGTAGTTGGTGGCATGATAGATACCATTTTTTATCACCAACTATTTTTGTTTCTTACAGGTTTTACTGGGACTTAATCATGCTTATAATGATGGTTGGAAACCTTGTCATTATACCAGTAGGAATCACATTCTTCACAGAACAAACAACAACACCATGGATTATTTTCAACGTGGCATCAGACACTGTTTTTCTATTGGACTTGATCATGAATTTTAGAACTGGGACTGTAAATGAAGACAGCTCTGAAATAATACTGGATCCTAAAATCATTAAGATGAATTACTTAAAAAGCTGGTTTGTGGTTGACTTCATCTCATCGATACCAGTGGATTATATATTTCTCATTGTAGAAAAAGGAATGGATTCAGAGGTTTACAAGACAGCAAGAGCACTTCGTATTGTGAGATTTACAAAAATCCTCAGCCTGCTACGTTTATTACGCCTTTCAAGACTGATTAGATACATACACCAGTGGGAAGAGGTAAGATTTATATGGTTATAACATTATTCACTAAGGTCTTTTTCCTATAAAAAACAAGTCAGTTCTCCCTAAAGAGTTACACAAGAACCCAAATGGAATAAAGAGTTTTTACTCACCAGTTAGTGTAATTATATACAGGTGCTAGTAGAAAAGCCTTTTTGGGAAAAAAAGAAAAACAACAAAGTAACCATCTATGCCAACAAAGAGATGAAAAATGTTTTGCGACAATCAGCACAATAATAATTCTATTGAGAATATTAGAAATTTTAGTAACCACCTAAATCTGCATCTGAGTTTGGTGACTAGCACTCAGACTTAGGAAGTTAATACTCTTGTAATCACAGAGAACTTAAAATACATGTTCATATATTTCTATTTCAGGACAAACTGAAACTGGCTATGATTGAATAGATGTTCTAGAATCCTCATTGGTTGAAGGCTGCATGTAGGCTGAATATATCAAATACTGACCTTCTTTATAAAAATTGGGTAGCTCATATTTTGAGTCTTTGCCTTCTAAACTCTGAATATTGTTTCCAGATGTGACCTTAAGCTGCCTGTCAATTTGGCCTGGTGACATTTCTAGAAAATTATGGCATTCCTTAGTTTGGCATGTTCATTGCTAGGAAACTTAATGCTTTGGCACATACCAGCAGGATTTAGTGATTTAATTTCTTGCCTGTCCCAATTTCTCTAGTTCTGAATATCATAATATATTTTAAAAGGAAAGAAACATGGGAACAATAACTTGTCTTTTAAACTTTTCTTTCAGCAATCATATTTATTATGTAAAGCATATTTGTGGAAGCACTATTAAAATAGAATTGCATAAATCTGTTTGCCTACTTAAATAAACATTTATTTAATGACATTAATATTGAAGGATGATTCTGGTGCTCTTTCTGATGTTTATCTCCAGTATTATATACACTTTCTGGTTTAACAGAAACCTAAAAGTGAAGCCATCTCACAAGTAAAGTCAGATTACATTTAAAAATGGCACAATGCTGGATGATGGTATCAAAATCTTACAAATTTATAATTGTTTCTCAAAAAACTTCTGAAATACATAATTATTTTTTGTGACCCTATCTTGGAAATTCTACTTCTTTTTGCCTCCCTATAATGCAGTGTAACTATATTTTTGATACAGAAATAGAGCATTGCTGTTCTGTACTGAAGTTAACTAAGGCAAATGATAATCCATACTTTGCAGTTCTGCCATAAAGCTGTGCTTTTGTCTTGTCTGTGCCTTACAGAGAGATAACCTTTTGAAATCTTCAATGACATTATTTTCTTGCAGTTTAATAGCTTGCCACTATAAAGACCTAGTAAGCACCTACATGACTACCGTCTCCCCTGCCTTCCATCTGTTTTCAAAGAAAAAAATACATATTCTACATAGAAAGTAGTTGAATCAGCCACTAAGTGGGACTAGAAGTGACCAGAGGATGTGGGCCAAACCAGCAATAGCTGGTCCATTGGTCCATTTAATCTTTAACTAATGGCTGCATGATTGTAAATTTTACTGTTGATTCCACTAGTAAAACTTGTGAGATATTTCTTGCATTATATTATAGTTGATAAAGATTACAAAATAAGTGGAGTCCATCTTCTCATGTTTGATAACACACTATAGTGCTCCCTGGTTGATTTCAGGCAGGTGAAACAAGGTTAGAAGTTTTTTTGGGGTTTTTTTGAGCCTCCAATAAAGCAGCAAGAATCTCATTGCCTGCTTATAAAAAAGATTTCTGGAGACTATGACAACATGCAGGAACAGTGATACTATGTAGACTAAATCAGGTTCTGATAAATCCCAAAATGAAATGTGTGCAAGAAAAAAGTAATTGGATCCAGAATAATGACCACTGTGTCAAAAATATTAAGAGAACTCTGCCAGAAAACTCATTCTTCATAACTTGCGAAGAGGGTACTTTATGGAAAACTGATGAACAAAACAGATTGTACAACAAGACTGTTATCCTGTGGAGGTATTTATACATCTTCCAACAGAAAAAGCAGGTTGAAATTTTTTAGTTTTTCCTTTTTTTTTATTTTCACATATCTGGACTTTAGTAAATCAGTATCCAGAACTTTAAGATGAGTAGTTAGAAATTTAAAATGTTTTTATACCAAACTGCTGAAACACAGTTCCTTTTCTTTATTTTCATGTAAATTAAATAAATTAAATTCAACACAAAACTGCTAATGACCACGTAGAGTAATATTGAGGTAGACAACATACACATTGCAAAAGCTTTCTCCTTAACTGTTAAGAGGGAACAGAGCTATAGCCTGAGGTACAATATATATGAAATTGATTATATTGATTGATAATATTCATAGCTGTCTGATGTTAACAGTTTTTCCAAATGAATGACATGGTGGAAATGAGAAGAAACACTTTAACAAAGGGACGTTAGATACGTTGGCAGGAATTAATTTGCAAATTCATACTGTCCTAAAACTGCTTTTTCGGTACAATATCTAATATTTCAAGTCCTGCACAACTCAGATGTTGACAAATAGAACACGTACGAACATTATATACTATAACATGCAAGAAAAAAAATGTTTTATAAATTGGTGATTATAGAAACGGTACTTTTGCAGTCATTTCTGACAGTGACTTGATATTTGGATTTTCAAATTTCTTTATAGCATAGATTCCTAAAAATACTGAACAGGACGTACTGGACCAAATTTTTATGTAATTTACCTTATTTTATGAGAAAGCCTAAGCTGCTGGCCCCTGAAAATTTTACAAAGGTTTGCATGAAACTAGTAAGTTGTTCTTAGTTAAAGATACAAAAATAAAAGATATGAACAGGGAATAAATGCATTATTGCATTTAGAATGATATACTAATTTGATTAATACCCGTGATATAAATTTACTGATTCTTTCAAATAACAATATTTTCCAAAAGCTGCTTAAAAACCGAACTTTGCTAGCTTTACTTACAGCTGTACTAATTACAGAATAAGACCTAGTAAGTGTATGAGTAAATGGAACTGGTACACCCTGAATCTTTCTTGTTCTGAGATGTCTGGTTATGTAGAATTCAAACCAATTTTAGTGGCTGAATTCTTATTGTCAGATGGGCAATAGGGGTTATGTTTTATAAAAGAATGATCTAGCAAAGTATGTGTTACTTGTAAATTACAGCCATGTGTTATTGTTTGACTTGTACTGAAATCTGGTTTTCAATTTGCCAAACGTTTTCAAGGTTCATGAGCCTTTGTGTTTATATCTATTATAACTGTTGCTAAAGCTGAGGTGTTTAATGAAACATATTTCTGAGGAGATCACACAGATGTGTCTTTTTCTAATTTTTACTGTTTTATCTCTAATAATTACAGCAACAATGATCCAGAAAAGCTCATCAATACAAGCTTGCTTGAATGCTAAGTCTTATTAAAAAATGCTTAATAATGAAGTAAGTGTGTAAGAGCTTTGCCAAATCACATCCTGCATTAACAATTTTATCTGTTGCTTCCATGTTACCAACTTTAATTATCACAGATTGCCAGTAGATGTCCTCTCCTTGTTGCTTGGTGTGAATATTACAAAAATGCATATTATATGTATATGATGTTCAGTCATTATTGTTGCCCAAATAAAAATACCAGAAAAAACCCACTTGTGCTATGTGGGTGACAGAAGACAACTCTTACTTCAGTAGCCTGGTGTTTCTGTGGTAGGTATGCAAGTGGCTTTCATCCCCTATAGAAAGTCAAACCATATTTTATCTTCCTGTACAGCCAGCTGACAAGTCAAGGTTTTTTGTGTCTTCTTTAGATCACTGACTGGAAAATTATTTGGGAAGGAGGAGATGATGAGTTAGGTGGATAGTTGGTAGTGTTGGATGAAGCCACATATCCTTACTGACTGGATTATTAATTTTATTTTATTTTAACAGGGTTGCCTGCAAGGTGTGAAGTTTTCCTGTCAGTGCTGGTGTCATACAGTTTAACATAATTTTTTAATAGAAAAAAAATGAATGGAAAGTCTCCATTTTTAAATGGAAATGGGAGATGACATAATATTTTTTTTTCTTTCTCTTAATTCAGTTTTAATTCCTGTGCTTCAAGGAGATAATTTAAAATATATTTTCTAGGCCCTATAAAGTTGTGTCAGTTAGTGGCGTACGGCAAATAAGCATACTGGTATAGTCCAAGTGGCATTTTTAAAGTAAATAACCTTGAAGTGGCACACACTCTTTTATTGCCTGTTACAGATGCATCAGTCAAATATGAATTGACTAGCTCATAGGCAGTAAGGTGTGGAAATTTGTTAATTAGCTCTGGAAAGTAAGATGTAAGAGGGACCACTTTCTCTTACTGCACAGTCTGAATTCTGCAACAAAGCCTCTGTATTAGTACCTTCTGCTCTCCTACTGTTAAAAAGATTGAAGTAAGAGAAAATCCCTAGTTCCTGCCAGTTTCTACAGGAAAGAAACAGATAAGCAAGTTTTGCATTCTTTTGGACAGTCATGCTTGGACAATGCCTCTTATATATAAATTAGTGAATTTGTGTCCTTCCACATGAAGGCAATTGCTGGAGGCAGATTGTGTGGATTGATGACAAATATAAAAATCTGAGCTGTTTGGCACTTTTTTGGTTTCTTTCCTAAGAAGTGTTTATTAGCAGGACTAAGTAAATGTGCGGACCACTTATTCATATTTAGCATTCAGCTACTTGCTTGGGTATGTATGTTGTACACAGCTGACTTCCATTTTGTGCTGGGCTGTATCTCAGACACCTGCCTGGTTTGCCTGGGGGTTTCAATGTGTTCTGCAGTTTTCCATACCAGAAAAAGATGTAGTCATGTGTGCTTGACATGTGCTGACCAGCTTCACCTCTTGTGCATTCTAGAGGGAAAAAACCCTGTGCTTTTTGCTTGCAATTTGAATTACACAATATAAGAGAGCTCAAGGCAGCTGTAGTAGAAGAGAAGCTTTCTAGCTTCATGAGAGCAGGGGGGTTGCTCAGATCAG